AATTTATTTCATTGTACCTGTTTATACAGAAAAACATAAGCATTAACATTAACATAAACATAGTAAAGATAAATAAAAATCAACTTAATACTTAAATTAATGTCGAAAATACAATTATTACAGGTGTGAGTATAAAAAGTGAGATTAAGCTATTGTCTTAACTTTTAACATTCGAACTTCTAATCTCTTTTTTCACATATTTTTATTATTATTTGTGAGATAGAGCAATTTTTAATGCCTATCCTTTTCCCATTTTTAAAAATTTGTCAAAACTTTGGCATGTATAGGTTTAAATTATCTTTGTGAACGGTTTTGTTTTAAAATTCTTAAATTTTTGTTTACATTAATGTCTATGTTAATAATTAAAACAAAATTAGGGTAGCTACAGGCACCTTTACAATAGACTTGTATGTCGTTCACTGAATGAAGTGAACTAATTCGTTTTAATCGTTCAATAGTTCAGTTTAATATTTTAACAGAATGAGTGATGATTGGATAAGTGATACAAAAATGTGAGATATGAACGATATATAAAACTAAATAATTGACATTTACAAAAAATTAATATTTACCTAATAATTATGTTATGTTGGGAATATGGTGTTAATACACTGTGCCCTTAAAGATGTATTGTGCCTCCTGTTGTCGCTAATGCACCAAGGAAATGTCTCAATGATAACGACCCTTCCAATCCTATTTTCTCAAGGAAGTGTAGGATTTGGAGTGGCTTTAAGTTAGGTAAATCTCTCTCTTCTATTTGATATCCTCCTAGATATAGTGCCCTTGGATTCTGGAGTGCTACACATTTATTTAGAATGTGAATGAAGGTTTCGTCCTCCTCCTCACAGAATCTACACTTACTATCCTCTACTACCTAAACTGAGGTGTCCTTTTAGTCGGCAATGCCCGGTAAGAATACCTGTTAAAATACGTTCTTGCTCAGGCAGATGCAGGCTTCCGATCTTTTCTGGTTCACCCAGAAGTATCCTAGCCTGTCTTAGCCCCAAGAGATAGTTCCAATTATTAATGAAATGGAATGCTAATGGACTGCTGCAGCACCAACAAGAATTGCAAGCAATCCTAGATATAGAAAGCATAGACATATGCCTGATTTTAGAGACTCACTTTATTAAATTTTAGGGATATAAGGTACCATTCACCCAAAAATGCAGCAATAGGGGTAGCGCAGTAATAATTAGAGAAGCAATTAGGCATCATCAAGAAGCTGGATACAGGACTGAAGAATTTCAGGCTACTTCAGTAATGATAAAATCTAAAACTGCTGATGTTATGGTCATTTCTGTATATTGTCCTTCAAGATATATCTTTAAAAAATAACAAAACCTAGATTTATTCAATAGTCAAGTACCTATATTTATCATTAGAGGCGACTTTAATGCAAAACACACCCACTGGGTCTTCAGACTAACAACAACTAAGGGTAAAAACCTAAAAGACACAGTTAAAATGTGAGTCGCATTCAACTGGCAAACCGACTTATTGGCCCACAGATAGAGACAAAACACCCGACCTAATAGACTTTTTTGTTGTTCGAAATATTGCAGCAAACTACATCCAAGTTGATGAGGTATGGGACATGAATTCAGATCATTCGCTCATTTTTCTTACTCTTAGTGACACCATCATCCAAAAGGCCAAGCGCTCCTAGACTAATAAATAGGAGAATAGACTGGAAAAGCCTCAGACGGGACCTTGAATATAAAATCAATCTTTCAGTTCCGTTAAGAATAAAAGCACAGCTGGATAAAAAAGTGTAGAACTACTCGTGTCCAACGTACAACAAGCAGCATGGGATAATACAATACCTATTGTTATAGCGAACAACAGGAAATAACTATCCTAAAGAAATAAGGTACCTAATCTCTGCAAAAAGAAAACTAAAGAGGAAATGACATCAGATCAGAGCCTTATCAGATAAAACCAAACTTAACAACGCCACCCACCTAGCAGTTAAAAAAAAGGATAAAAGAAATCAAAAACGAATTTATTTGTGATTACCTTAGAAGTAAACAAACGATAAATCTACTGATTATTCTCTATGGAAAGCCACAAAGTTATTAAAAAGGTTCAATGTGCAGAATGCTCCAATTAGGAATGCATATGGTAATTGGGCTAGAAATAATACACAAAAAGTTAATAGATTCGCAGAGCACTTAAAAAATACCTTTCAACAAAATGAATGAGTAAATATACCGAACTGCGTTTCTCTAGAGAGAGATGACTTAATTATCAGACCAACCGTTCCAAAGGAAATTGCAGAAGAAATAAAAACAAATATTAATCCTAAGAAAGCTCCTGGCTTTGATTTAATTAAAGGAGAAATCTTAAAACAACTTCTAAAGAAAGCCATATTTAAACTTACGTACCTATTTAATGCCTCATTGAAACTAAGGTATGTCCCTGGATTGTGGAACGTAGCTAAAGTCATTATGATCTCCAAACCAGGAAAACCTCCGAATGAAGTTTTGTCATATAGGCAAATGTCTCTATTGCCTATAATATCAAAACTATTTGAAGAAATACTAATAAAAAGACAAACACATCATTAAAGAAAGGAAATTTATTCCAGATTACCAGTTCGGCTTTAGAGAAAACCATTCAACTCTAGATCAGGTTCATAGAATCTCAAATGCTTTTGAAAAAGCATTAGAAAACAAAGAAGTCTATTCAACCATCTTTCTCGATCTTGTGCAGGCTTTTCATAAAGGGTGGCATGATGGCTTCTCAGAGCTATTCGATTCATACTTTTCAGATATATTCTTTAGAGTAAAACAAGATGAAGCATACTCTGAATTGAAAGAAATTAAAGGAGGAGTACCACAGGGAAGCGTCCTGGGACCCACTTTGTATCTATTATACACTTGTGACATACCCCAACTAAAACAAGATACAATAGCTACATGTACAGATGATACTGCCATCTAAGCGATGGGCAAAGATCATGAAGAGGTTGCAAATAAATAATTGAACCAAAAGATGACGTATTTAACTAAACGAAACCAAATCTGTTAATACCTATTTAACTAACAAAAATGGTCAAAAAAAAAACAATTAACATAAATAATGCTCAGGTCCCTTATGCTAACTTGGCAAAATATCTAGGTATTACATTAGATGCAAAACTTCGCTGGAAGGTCCATGTTAAAAAGAAAAGACAAGAGTTAGATATAAAATTTAAGAAAATGTACTGGTTGGTTGGTAGGCATTCCAGTTTATCTACATATAACAAAATTCAATTATATAAACAAGTCCTCAAACCAATTTGGACCTATGACATTCAGCTCTGGAGTTGTGCCAGTACAATATTATTCTAATAATTGAGAGATTCCAGAACAAAGTATTGAGGGACATTGTCGATGCTTCTTGGTATATTAGAAAGAGCGACCTTCATCGAGACCTTCAGATGGACACTGTTGACCAGACTATCGCCAGATACCGCTAGGAGTCACGAACAACGGCTCCATCAACATGTGAACGTTGAGAAGATCCAGCTTCTTGACAACACGAACCTGACAAGAGAACTCAAGATAGTGAATCCTTTTGAGTTAGCCAAGTGATTGTGTGAATAAGAAAGCAAAGCATTGTGCGGTTTAGTGTAATTAAGTTATCAGACCCTAAGGTATACTAGTGAGAATTTTAGTTTTTAAGATTGCAACAATAGTTAGGTTAGGTTATAACAAATTTACTTATTGATCAACTCTTGATCAGATTGTAATATTAATAAACGTCTCGTTTGTTTTTCCCAAAAAAATACGTTGATAAAAAAAAGTAGAAATTTTAAATTTTATGAATGCTTACATAATGTCATTATCTAATTTCTTTAGGAGCATGTTTTCAAAAAAATTGTATTATTAAACATTTTTTTTTCTGGACGAATTAGCTTTAATTTAGGAAATGTGTAAAAAATCATTTAAATCACTTAAGAAATATAAATCAAATAGGTAGAGGGATATTAATTTCTATTAAAATAGACCAAAACTCAATTTAAAACAAAAAAATCAAAAAAATGCACGATTTGTCTATTTTTATTGGTATTTTTAATAAAAATCATTAATTATATTCTTCATTTTTTGATCCCTCCTGATCTTTAATCATTTGTGCACTTGTTGTGTGATCTTCTTCGGTAACATTATTTAAAATGTGTTCTTATAAACGCACTTCATTTTCAAATTACCATACTAAACAGATATGGGTACTTCTCCACTAATTGGAAAATCGTTGTCCCAGGCATATTGTTAATATTATAGAGTTCTGGATACAAATAACGACAATCTGTTACCTATTCTTGGCACGCCATAGTACATCTTTTAATATTATGCAATAATATTTCATTAAATGCGTTTGAATGATCTCAAATTACAGTCCCCTGTCGTGTCCCATCTTCAGAATGATAAGTTTTAAAATTAATAATAATTTTCAGTGCTTAATTTGTCCGATTTTAAACAATATAAGTAATACTAGGATACAGTAACGATGTTTATAGACCAAATTCATAATTTTAAATTTTCTGTAAATATAAAAAACAAGCACTTGAATGTTGTCCTCAAAAATTTTAAACAGTCCCCTGTAACAATTTGAAAATTGCGCCGAAACCATATAATGCATTGGCGGGAGTGTTTATAGCGTGAAACAAAACGCAAACAGGGTGCCTGGGTCGTTTCTTATAACAGTCCTCTGGTAAGTAGAATTTCTATTGTTTTAAATGATTAAATTATTATAATTTTGTATAAAACTGGCTCAGCTAGTATACTATCATTTCTGTTGCTAATATTTAATAAAAATTTAAATAGTTTTGTGCTAGGAACTTTACTACGTACAAATAAAAGTCCCCTGGACACAGTCCCCTGTCAGTTTATTACACAGGGGACTGTTCTCCAGCACAGGGGACTGTTTTTTTTCAACAATGACCATTACTATTTGTTTTATATAGTTTCCTGTATTTAAAATATTTATGTTCTTTTTGTAGGTAGTGCTTCGCAATGTCACCCAAAAATAATAAAACAAAAACAAGAGAAGAAATATTGGAACAGAAAAGACTTACTGAACGACTAAGGTATGAAAGACTTAAAAAAGATCCTAAAAAGAAAGAGGAATTAAGAGAAAAAGTACGTCGCAAATACCAAATAAAGAAAGAAAAGGACACAAGAAAATTAGTCAAAGATATGAATCGTCGTGAACACAATGCTGTAAAAAAAAATTGGAAAGAGTATTGTACAACCTATCGTGCAAAGAAAAAAGCCTTGCAAGAAGTTACGAATACTTTTATTCGGGAAAATACGCCTGATTCAGAGTGTCTTGTCGCAGTCTCTCCGACGCCTGCAAGATCTTCAATATATTCAATAATCAACATGAGAAAGAGTCGAGCCAAAAAGAAGCGCGAAAGAATTATAAGAGAAAAGGATCGTAAGATTAATCATTACAAAAAGAAATTGGAAAAGTATAGAAAGAGGTTACAGCGGTTGGAAAAAGCTAATATGAAAAATATCGTCGACACACCGAAAACAAAACTACAAAAAATGTGTGATGTTCCAGAGACTCGCAAAGAAGTCGTTAAAAAGGCGATTTTTGGTTGAATTCAATCTTCAACTTATACAAGAAGTTTAAAGATGAACACTTTGCAATCAGTTACCAGACTTTTTGTCGTTTGCGTCATTTCTGGGTGGTTACACCAAAAGTAAATGAACGCGATACATGCCTCTGCATAAAGCACGCTAATATTGATTTGAAGTTATCCGCATTATACAGTCGAAAAGTTGCTAGAAAACACATGTTGCAATCGCTATGACGAAGAGTGTTTGTCACGCAACTGCCAACGCTGTGTTAACAAGAATCCTGATTATATAGAATTTGATGATAGCAAGCCTTTACAATTCAGAAAATGGGTAGCAGAGAAACAAGAATATAAAGACCCCAAGTCTAAAAAAGCACGGACTGTAACAAAATATTTGAAGAGAACTTTCACGGTTCATCCGCGTGAACTAATAGAAAACCTGCATGAAGATTTAAAAGGGTATTTTATTCATGAAAGAAATATATTTCATCAATACAAAACTGTCAAGGACTTAAAACAGAATCTCAATGACAAAGAAGCTATTATACACATGGATTTTTCGGAAAACTATTGTGCCAAATACAATCAAGAAATACAAGCCTATCACTTTGGAGGATCTAGACTTTAGCTGAGTCTTCATACTGTTGTAGTTTATCTGAAATACTTTACGAAATCCTACTGTACTGTATCGCAAAACACCACTCACTCACCAGCTGCTATATGGGTTCACTTGCAGCCAATTTTCAAATCTTTGCCGCTTCAAATAACATGTATTCATTTCATCAGTGATGGACCTGTAACACAATACCGGAATAAAACAATGTTTAGTATCCTGGCATCAAGGCTTCATCTAGAAGTTCCAAGTGTAGAAAAGTTTACCTGGAACTTTTCCGAGACTGGTCACGGCAAAGGCGCCCCTGATGGGGTTGGAGCTACCTGCAAACGAACTGCCGATGCCGTCATTGCTGCAGGAGACGACATTGATAGTTTAAAATCTTTTGTAGAAATTATACAACAAAGATGTCCCGGAAATATTATATTTACCATCGACGACGAAGACATTCAGAAAATGACCAGTGATGTTCAAAAAGATGTAGCTAAGAAAAGTTTCAGTGGTACCCTCAAAATACATCAAATAAAGGGAAACATAAAAAGATGTCCTTTGGGATTACCACACGGCGCTACCAAGCTTATAATGAAAACTTTGAGCTGTTTTTGCGACAACGAATGCCAGCATTTTAATTTAGGATTAATAGAATTCAAAGAAAAGCCAAAACTTAACGTAGAGGATATTTACACGGACTCAGACTCTGAACACCAATATAAACCAGAATTTGGCCAACAAGATAATACTATTTTAGAGACAGACATGTCACAGATTATTGATAAGTCCACTAATGATTTTGATAATATTGCCGGACCTAGTTCAATCAACCAATATAAAATCGGTGATTACGTTTTAGTTAAGTTTCCTGTCAGAAACACGGAATATCGTTATGTAGCTATAATAAATCAGATAGACAATAAAGAAGAAGAACTAACGTAACTTTTTTCAAAATTTGTGATGACAAGGGTCAAACCTTCAGAATTGACGAAAATGATATTTCAGATGCATCTTTTGAACAAATAACTCAAAACTAACCAAGCCCCGATATTGTCCTAAAAGGAAAAAGAATATTTTATTTTTTTAAGTCAGCTATACCTGTGTTTGAGAACTAAGTTAGGATTTATATATATATTTTTTTTTCGTTATAAGCTATAAAGCAAATAATAATTTTAAATGTTATGTTGTTACTAATAAAAGTTGTTTAGAGTACAAACGACATATTAAGATGTTGATTGTAGGACCAAATAGTATGTTTAACATTGTTGTATAGTTATTAGTTTAGTCTATATTTCTTTGTTTAATACAAAAGTTGATTTGGATAAGTGTATGTATGTTATAATAAAAATAAAACTTTAACTTGTTGCATTGATTAAAAATATGTTTTTTTTTTCTTCCATAACACTTCCCTGAATGAGGTGACAGTCCCCTGTCGTAAAATTTTACAAAACCGTCTGTAACTTGCAAAATAAGAGAAACATGTGTGAGCTTTTTGAAAATACATATTTAGTTTATAACTATATTTCGGAAAATTTTCACGGTTTCTTATTTTTCGGAAAAAACATGCTTGGGACACTGTTGTATGGGCTAATTTCCAATTAGTATAGAAATACCCATAAACAACTACTGACCTACTGAAATCAGACGATTGAATACAAAAACTGGTACACATGAATTATGATTTATATTCATAAAAAAGAAAACGAAAAACATAAGACCTATTAATTCGTTTAACTTTTCGGACACAAGTCTAGGCTGAAACTTAGATTTTTAATTCTTTATCTTTTTTATTTTTGAGTTCTTAAAAAAAGTAATTTAAAAATGATGTTTACTTTAACGACTTATCTGTACATTTAAAAAAAGTATCAACTTAGCCCGCATATTTGTCAGCAAAAAGTGTTTGCTTCATTCCAGTCAATAATATTAAAGAAAATTAAATAATTCCCTTTTCATTATTGTATTAAGACGTAATATAGTTTGGAAACTGATTTTTTTGTTTCACTTGCAATTTTAATTGTAACTATATCATGATATAGGCACTTTCGTCGCTTTAACATTATTTGTCTTAATAAAATCACTTTATTCCTTTCGCTGTTTTTACGCCAAACAAGTTATTTCAGACGACTGGATTGTAATGTATTTCAAAAAGCGAAAACTATAAACTTGCCAAATTGAATCCCATCACTTGATGAGTAAAATGATAAATATTACTCTCTTTTATGGCAACCGAATTTTGTAACAATCGATAAAGTTGATCAGGCTTTTATACTGTTTGGACCCATTTTCCTAATTTGTACATATTGACAAATCCATTTTAAATTTATTTAGTGTGTCCCAAAAAGTATTTCACAGAACAAATTATTTTAGATAAAAAGTTCATTTGGAAATCCATAATGCAATCAAATTCCTTAAATTTAAAAATTTTCAATACACACTTTAGCGTTGAATTTGAATCATTTATTTAAAAACAAGTGTAATGATTTAAAGATTTTAAATTAATATTCTACTGAAAATTGTGAATTTACTCTCGAAAAATTGCAAATCGAAATCCGAAAAATAAGTATATTTGAAAAATTGAGAAACCCCAACATTTGATTTGTACCGGGTGTTCCATTCAGAAACTAATAATAGTACAGCTCTGGGAAAAAAATATTTTTAATAAAAATGGTCAAAAGTTTGTAGGGTGGCCGCTAGGGGGCGTAATTGTGACGTCAAAACATAAAAATGTAATTTTCTCAAAAAATTACGAAGTAAAGTATATTGATAAATATTACTATTTTAATTTTCAATGATTTCTAAACAAAAAAGTTTTAGGTGTAATTTTTTTCAGTTGTGAAATAGAGTGGTGTGGGAAGGTTAAACTTTAATTTGGAAAAATGCTCATATCCGGTTTGGCTTTACCGAATTTAGTGAACTTGGTTTTGTTTAGAAGAGCTTTTTCAGCCTCATTTTTAGCTTTATAAACTGTGGCTGCTTACGTTTTATGAACGTTGCTGAAGGGCGTTAAGTTAAAAACTGACAAATTTTACAAAAATTTTCGAAAAATAAAAATACAACGATATATACCTTTTAACATAGTTAGATAGAGAAAAAAAAAGCCTAATACTTTGGCGAAAACCGCATTTGGATATCTCTTTTCAAACCGCAGATTTTAGCAAAAATATTAATAAAACATAGAAACTTAACACATTTAATGACTCAGCATTTTCTACTAGGTGAATTTTTTAAGGTATAAATCAAATTTATAAATTTCTGCAGAACCTAATGCCCAACCATGATTATTACATATTTTAAATAATCGAATGATATTAGATAAGAATGCATAATTACTTATAAGTATAATAATTCATTAAGCGTGTATATTTGCATATCAAGTAAGCTTTGAAAACAGAAACAAAAGACCAAATACTCAATGCCGTCTCAAATGTTCAAACTGCCTTCCATTATTTTGAACACATAGTTCCAACCTTTCCCTGGTTGACAAAATGGCTCTTTCCACTTCCGCTCTAGATATGCTACATATAGCGTCCGTGATTCGTTGAATCATATTTTCCCTTGTCGTAGACCTCGTACAAAAAACAAGGTCTTTTAATCTTCCCCAAAGGTAGAAATCGAGACAGGTTAAATCCGGTGACAACAAAATTGAGGGGACAATTTTGCCTAATTAGAATTGAAAATAGTATTGATACGATAATTAAAAACTTTACCACTGATATTTTACTATGGACATAAACAATAGGTACCTCGGAGCCACTGAAATAGGATACCTCTTCCAATCCACCTATCAGGAAATGCGCGATCAAGAAATTTACGGACGTTTGCTGCGAAATGGGCTGAACAGCCATCATATTAGAAAAACATTGTTCTTCTGGTTTCCAACGGCACATTTTCTAAAAGAAGTGGTAAGTGATTGTCCAAAATATTTGTCCTCTAAGCGGCTCATCCCAAATGAAAGGACCTATGATTTCAGTGCCTAAAATGCCGCACCAAACGTTCACGCTCCACCTTCCTTGGTGCTGCACCTCCTGCATCCAACGTGGATTACTAGCTGACCAATAATGCATATTATGCATATTGATTCCACCGTCACTATGAAAGGTTGCTTCGTCCGTCCACAAAATTCGAATTAAAATGTTTCTGTCTTCCGTTATCATATTTATCAACCAATGACAGTAGTCTAACCTCCTGTCGTAGTCTGCGACGGTCAAAGCTTGGTGTAGCACAATATGATATGGATGTAACCTAAGACAAAGATTACTTAGCACTATTAGGATATCATAATAATATATCTAATAATTACCTGTGTTCCTTCAATATTCGAAATACTGTAGTCTGAGGGATACATAAATCTTTCAAAATTACTTGAAAGCTTAGCTAGGGATTAAACTCTACGTACGCTAAAACATTCATGACATTTT